AGGAGAGGAGAGGAGAGGAGAGGAGAGGAGAGGAGAGGAGAGGAGATTTTACTTTTTCAATTTTTTGTGATTTGTTCGCGAAATCTTATTAATAAGCTCGAAATTTTAACGAAAGTTTGTTGTTGTTTTTTTGTAAATATCCCAAAAAGATTGAAGCTTGGATTTGTTAGGAATAAACTATACTTTTATATAAAAAAAATATATATTTTAAATTCCAAAATAATAAATTATACTGTCAAAACTTATAAATATGTTAGTGCCGTATAGTTATGTTAAGCACTATATATATTTAGAGGATATAGAGGATTCAAAGACGTGGTAGACGTCGTACAATCTTAATTTTTACATTTTTATGAAAAATAATGGTTAAAATAGTTTTAGGTTTAAAAACATTTCGGTATAGTAAAAAATCCTCTAAAATCATTTTTATCATTATTTTACATTAAAAAAAATATTAAGCTTAAGATTTTACGACGGTTAACATGTATTGTGAATCCCCTAATAGATTATGCAAGTATGTAAATACATACATATGTACATGTGTAGGTTTAAAAATTTTGTTAAATTTAAATATTTTATTTAACTTTCCTTTGAAAGGTTTTAAAATAATGTTATGCTTAAATAATTTCCGAGTACCAAATTAAGTATTTTAATACATTTTTTACTTCACCGAATTGTATTTTTTTGAAACTGAACACCGAGAAATTGAATATTTAATTTAAAATGATTAATAATGAAAATATTTCTTAATGCTAGGACAACCTACGAAGAGCCTATGGCTTCAATCAAAATCTGTAACTTTCAATCATAATCTTAAACTTAACCGGCGCAATTAAAATAACTTTCTTCAACGGCTAATGACTTTGCCCTTTTTCAATTAAGTAAATCTCATTTCATTCAATCAACTTCAGTAGAACATTCTTTTCCGCAAATTCGCATGCACTACGTACGTACTTACTCTTGCAGTTGTCGTCAGAAACGCTTTCCTAAAGAATTTTAATTACAAATCCACAACAACTTTAATTTGCCAAGCCACTAATAACAATGAGAAAATCACTTGCAGTATTTACATTACATTTGGATGTACATATGTAGGTATAACATTCATTTACAATGTACATACATACAAGCATGTCCATGGGCAAAACATATACATACTAGTATAACTACGTAGTAATACGAGAGCCACTAAATAAGTCTTTAGATTAGCCAAACCTTTAAATAAGCAAAACGCTATAACTCAAATTTCAAATAAGTTTAATGTAAAGCGAAAAAATCAATTCAAAAGTGACACCAATGCAAATGCCATACACGTACATGGTTTGGAAGGAAATGCCCCCTAAATGTATGCTTTAATATTGATCCTAAATTACAGATACAAGCTCAGTTCCGGTGTAGTAAGGAGTAAGGTTAAAGGCAAAGATTAAAATAAAAGCAAAGAAAGCTTAAGATACAGACAATGAGGAAGGCAAATTGAAATACATACTTATGCAGATGAACAAAAGAATGGAAATAAAGGTCAGAATAAAGTTAAAAGGAGATATAGATAAAAATGAAAAGATTAACATAAACATAAAGACAAAAAACTAACGATGAAGATAGAGATAGAGAAAGTCATGGAGATAAAGGTAAAGACCAAGAAAAAGATAAAACTGAAGAATAAGATATGTTATGGTATGTTATGTTATATTACGTTATGTTATGTTATGTTGTATTGTTACGTTATGTTGTGTTTTATTATAATTTCTTGTGCTATGTTATTTTATGTAAGTTATTTTATGTAAGTTGCGTTATGGTATATTATGTTACATTAAGTTGTGCTATGTTTTGTTATGTTATGTTATGTTACTTTATGAAATGTTACATTATGTTATTTTATGTAATGCTATGTTATGTTGTTATGTTTTGTTATGTTATGTTTTATTATGTTGTTCAATGTAATTCAGCTCAACTCACCACAGCTCATTTCAAATAACCTCAAATAAACTCCACTCAGTTCACTTCAACTAACCTTAACTCACCTCACCCACACCCACCTCTTTCATCTCAACGGAAGAGACCTACCAGTTTTACGCCGAGTTCCCAACGGCGATTGTATTTTTGTGAGAAAATCTTTTTCATGGCAGAATAAACTCAGAGGTTTGGAATTGTAAAAATCTCTGCGCTAAAGGACTTGTGGGAGCTCGGACTGTTGTTATATTAATCCACATCGAAAGTAGTAAAAAATCATCCAACACAAACCTTTTTTCAAATATTCAACCTTATGATGGGTTTCATTTACCCCGAACCGGTTCACTCTTGACTTTTCGTTTCCATGTACATATTTAGTATGCGCGAATGAAAATTTGTCGTTCTGAGTAAATGCAAATTTCAGATTGTCTCAAATGACATTAAGATTGCGAAATCTAATGACTTATTTAGTGCCCTTCGTACTTACATATGTATTCAAACTGTACTGAAATTAATTCGCACAACATTTTTCAGATATTTCATTTGAGCCTCATTGGATGGATAGCTAAGCAATAATGCGGATTCACATGGTACCAAGTAGTACTTGTAATTCAAATACATACGTATGTACATTCATATATTTGTATACAGGGACTTACGTTACTCGTGTCGTGTAATTTGAGATTGCTATTGATTTCATTTATTTGTCAACACAACACCAATAAATAACTGCATACACGCTTATATAAAAAATAAAATGTTTGCCTTTTGTAAGCCGCTCATGAGCGCGTCGTAACTATAGTGCAAGGAATTTGAAATCTGATGAACTTCCCCTTAGTGTGTCCGACAAGAAAGACTTGTTTTTGTGTGCCTTAAATAACAACTAAAGAATTTTGAGAGATAAAATTTAGTTAGTTAACTAAGAGCGTTTAAAATATACTGAAAATATTTGTACATGTGTGCAAGGAAATATTTGTACATGTGTTAAAAGTACAAAACCGCGTAATTAATATTTGTGTTAAAAATTAGAATTGCTCACCGGAAGCTTCTGACATCAAGCCTTATCTATTCGTACCAATATATTGATTTATAAAAGTACCCGGAAATAGGATTGCTTTATAAAAGAGAAAATCGTTTTGAAATAAGACAGTTTTTACTCTCTACTGTATAATTTTTAGTAAGCCGCACGGCGTTAAAACACCCTAGATAGAATTTCAAAAACCTTCAAACTATTCCAAATATTAGTAAGGTATAAGCGATTCGAGTATCATATTTCTTCTTTGTAGGTGTTGAATTTTTTTTTTAAATTGCATAAATTTTTAAGTCAGTGGCACTCAATTGGTACATTTGTACAGATTGGTACATTTTTATATTGGGCTATTGGTACAAAATAAAAAAAGTGGGAACATTTTTTTTTTGTAGTCAAAATATTGGTTCAATACAGCGATGTTCTATTGAAAAGTTTCAGGAAATTAATTTTCGTGATTGGGATAAAGAAAAATATTTTGGTATTTACACAATTGGGATACGATTTGCACCAAATTTTGGCAAATATCCAATTGTGCGACACTGCCTTTAAACTTGTATTTATACGGATGTTGTTAAAGAATCGACTATAAAAAACTAACCAAAATTAAATAACAACAAAAATAATATTTTTAAACTTGTGACAATTTGATGCGGCTATAATTTCCTCGACTACTGTACAATGTACAAAAAAAAAAGTTGCGGCTTTTCCGGCGGGGTTACCAAACCTAGTATATTTTAATACTTCTACCAAAATATTTCTGAAAAATATTAAGATTTACGTGAGCTGGACCAGTTTGAAAATACCTCTAAAAATGGAGTTTTTTTTACCTTTTCTACAACATAGTTTTCTCTCGCGCTGCTCGAAGAGATTCTTTTCATAGCCAAAATTTGTTTAATGTGAGTACAGTTGATATGGTATCGATGGGAGTTGTTATCCTCCTATTTTCTTTATATATAAATACATATTTAGTCTTTAGGTACATCTATCTAGTACATTAAGGAAAGTTTTCCGTAAATTAGGTACAAGTTTATAATTCAATTTTCCATCCCTAATGGAATATCAGCTTTAAAAATGGACCAGAAACAAACAGCTGATTGCGCCCTGTTCAATAAATATACCTCCAAGTCAAAATTAAACATAACTAGCAGGGTTGCATTGAGAATCTGACACAAATTAATTGCCAATTAATAATTTTAAATTTTTTATGATAAATTGGGTAACAATTAAGGCTTAAATTGGTGAAAAGGTGCCTGCTTGAACATAGTCTTAGGTCCTTAGCATCAGAGCGTCTTAATTTTTTCGCTACTTGATACTCGTCCGGTGAATTGCCGCTGCCACTGTAATTTGTGCAAATTCGGCTGCAGGAGGGCAACTCCAAGACCCCTAACTGCGTTCGCCCCTGTTCCTTATCAATCATTTCATTTAATTTTGGGTGAAAGGGTATTTCTTTGTAAACTGTATTTCTTCGAAATCACTGTCACTGTTCAGTTCATGGCTCATATTATGTACAAGAAAGCGAATGTAAAAACCAAAAAGTAAGTAATAAACCATCTTTAAATTCTTGGAACTTTCCTGACCTCTTAACTGAATAAATAATGTTTTAGAGTTAACGACAATGATTTTTTTTTTGTTATTTCCGTTGCATAGACACTCCGAACCTCATACGGTTTCGTTTACCAAATAAAAGACACTGGTATTTTGTATTTGCTGCCTAACGATTCAAATAAAGTCTCTTAAAGACTGTGCAACTCTACGATTTAAAAGTTTTACTTAAAGTCTTGGTTAAACATCGCACTCTTTCACCTTAAGTAGTACAATACTTATTTATGTGGGCATTGAATTGCTGAACTTGCTGCTCAAAATTCGTAACAATCGTTCACTTT